CTCTGCATCCTCTGCATGGGCTCGTTGTAGTCCTTGCCTCTAGTTGATAAAAGTGAACAGAAGAAAAAAATAGTTTTTCTTTTCTTCTTTTCTTTTAGCTCTTTAAGAGGTGAAATGTTAGTCTTCAGAGACTCACTTGCTAACTTTCCTTTTTTCTTTTCTTTTTTTTTTCTTTTTTCTTTCTCTGTTTTCTTACATGGTTCTGGTGGATTGTCATTTGCTGGTGCTGGCTGTTTTCGTGTGATCATCAACATTATGGGGTGACCATTGACCCTGTGGCAACAAAATGGTGTCCAACTAACCACTTTATAATTAACATCTTTTTTTTAATTAACGAATTTATGGTATTTTTTTTTTTTCTTGGTGGGGAATGGGGTTGGGTTGTTCTCTCTTCTAGATTATCCAGCCAAGAAGATGAAAACGACAGAGAAGGGATTTGGCTTAGTAGCTTACGCTGCAGACTCCTCTGATGAAGAGGAAGAACATGGAGGCCATAAAAATGCAAGTAGCTTTCCACAGGGCTGGAGTTTGGGCTATCAGTACCCTTCATCACAGCCGAGAGCTAAGCAGCAGATGCCGTTCTGGATGGCCCCATAGGAAATAGTGGACAGAGCTTTGATCCTCGGTGACTCTTCTTAGCAATAATGCATGCACTTGATTAAACAAGACTCTGGGACCTGTCCTAGGGGCCATCTTGGACCTTCGAAGACATTAGGGATGCAGTGTCCCCTGTCATAAAGGGATGCCATTCTTTTTAAAACCCTATTTCTGCAGTGGCATAACATCCGTTAAAATTCACTTAGAATCACAAATTTGTGTCAAGCTTTTTAACAGTTGATGAAATGTGCTTGTCCAGTGAAATATCAGGACAGAGTCATTGCTACATATGTTTGACCTGGTCTAGCCTTTTCCAAATGAATAGCCTCAACTCTGTTGTAAAGAAAGTTTTATTTGTATTTTACTACTATTGGGTCAATTTTGATAACTGGTTACAAACAAAGCCTTACTATTTATTAGTGGGAAATGGTTTTAAGACCCTTCCTTCCATACTTACATGGAATTCTAAGAGCTCCTTCTCCCTCTTTCCATTTGGATTCTTTGTTTGGAAAATGCTGTTTTACTAATTTAGAATGGTCAAGTACGACTGGATCCTGAATAGGAAAATGAAGTTATTTTTGCATTGTTTCTTTATTGGGATGATCCAAAGCTGGCACCTTTAGGCACACTTGTTTCAGATAGCCATTGCTGTTGGCACTGCCCTTGTAAGTTCCCTGTTTTCAACTGGGTCAAAGAAAACGTGAAACACTCATCTGTCTCTCTCAGAACTGGTTGCATCGAGAAGAGAGATGTGATGACACCGGCAGGACGGTGATTCTGACTGGAATTGCAACTTGTCCTTTTTTCTTGGCATTGCGGGGTTTGCCAAAAGAACTTTTTTGTATGAAATATTGACGTATGGAAGTGAAGGAATTGGTGGTGAGCCAGAAGTGTCTGAGATACTGACTGTCATTTTTGCACATTTTTGAATACTTTGCAGGCTGGCTTTGTACAAACTTATTCTCTGGTTTCCTGTATGTTGTAAATAATTAGACCATAATTTCATTATAAATAAATGTATAAATATTCTGCTCGTCATTTCTTTTTCTCCCCTAGCCCATTCATACACTAATATCAATAAACTTTTTAATTATTTATTATTTATTTTTAATGTGCATTGGTGTTTTGTTGCATGTATGTCTGTATCAGATTCCTTGGAGCTGGAGTAATATACATAGTTGTGAGTTGCCCGATGGCAAATGGGAATTGAACCTGGATCCTCTGAAATAGTGCTCATACCTTTGGAGTCATCTCTCCAGCTCCTTATTAACCTCATGAATTCATAGCAGAATCGCAGTCATTTCCCTACCCAACAGAAACTTAATGGGCTCCAACATTTGCATTGCTCCTTGAGTTTATAACTCTGCAAAGTATATCCTTAAAGTCAAAAGATGATTAAGTTACATGTTTTCTGTTTTCTTATTTTTCCCCTTTAATGGTTCACTTTATTTGTTTTTGAGACAGGGTCTCACTGTATGCTCTTCTGGCCTCCAGGGTGGCCATGTACTACAGATAAAGTCACAAATACATCCACATAAAAATAAATCTTAAAACAAAGATTAATAAATGGAATACATTTTTTAAATTTTTTTTTTTTTTAAATCCCGAGACAGGGTTTCTCTGTATAGCCCTGGCTGTCCAGAGCTGGCCTCGAGCTCAGAAATCCGCCTGCCTCTCCCTCCCAAGTGCTGGGATTAAAGGCGTGCGCCACCATTGCCCAGCAATGGAATACATGTTTGTTCATGCTGTGTGTAGCTGTGGGAGGACATCCATTCAGGAATGACTTCTTGCCTTCCACTGTGCTTCTTCAGGATGTCATGACAGTACCTCTAATTTCTGAGCTGCCTGGCTGGAATTATATATAAAACAGGCAATTATATATAAAACAGGCAAGCTTCATTCTCATAGAGCTCTGCCTTGCTCTGTGCCCAGAATGCTGATTAAAGATACCGCTAGGTTTGGCCTTCCACCTAGTATCTAACATTGTGTATTACTGCCTAAAAGACATTTGTGTTTTGTTGTCTCTTTTGTGCTTTTGGCAATTGAACTCAGAACTCTGTCTACACTAGATAAAATTCCACCACTGAGATACATCCACTTCCCCCTTTGGATTTTTGTAGATAGGGTTTCCTGTAGTGCAAGCTACCCTGGAACTCTAATGTGTCGACAGGAATGACCTTGAGAGATGCTTCTGCCTCCAGAGTGCTAGTATTCTGGGCATATGCTACTTTGTCTTAGCTTGCTTGCTCTCTTTATAAATTATTTTTTATTTTGAAGGGTAGGCATGAAGGTAGATCCTTAGGTTAAGGCCAGCCTGGTTTACGCAGTGAGTTCCAGGACAGTCAGTGCTATGTAGAGAGACCCTATCTTGAGGGAGAGGGAGAGGGAAATTAGTATTTTGAGACAGCATTTTTTTGTCACTATTTTATTGCTGTGGAGAAATAACCATTATAAAGGCAACTCTATTAAGAAAGCATTTAATTGGGGGCTTTGTAGCTGGTCTTTGCTACTTTGTGGGTTCTTTTTCCTATTCTTCATCTCCCCCAGTTTCACCCCTTAACATTAGATAAAGAAACGGGTAGAGGGGAGAGAGGAATTAGGAAAATCCCCGAATCTCATTTCTTTTGTTTCTTTTTTGACCACAGCTACTAAGAAACCACAGCCAACCTCCCCAAACCACCAAAAACCACCTACCCAGACTATTGGGCCCTAACATTTATATACTCTGAAAAGTTCTGTCTGGAATTCCAAGTGTCACACAGTTGCAGAAACTGCAGCTGGCAAAACCATGCCCCTGCTATAGCACAAGGCAAATCATAGCTGCTGCAGACAGTCCAAACAACCTCGTATCCTTACACCTGAGATTAAAACAGCTGTCTGAGACCACAATCAGTTCTTCAAAAGTTGCAACAGCACATGAAAACACTTACCTCAGAACTCAGGAGCTGGAGGATTGAGGATTTTGCATTTAAGGTCAGCCTGGGTTAAATGAAGCTCAGACCCTCAAAACAAGATATATGTAATAATTGTACTTGGAAGACTGAGGCAGGATTACCATAATTTTGAAGTCAGCCTGGTCTGTAAAGTAAAACCCTAAACCATCCCTTCTGTTCCCTCCTGGTCTCCCCACAGCACTCTTATGCTGAGACAAGAAAGGTCAGGAACTGTAGGCTAACTTAAGCCTACATCCTGTCTAACAGAAAAGGGAAGTGGAGATTGCAAGAATAATGCAGGAAAGTTTCACTACATGTGATGTGCAGAGTGGATGAAGATAGTGTTGTTGTGGGTTTTTTTGTTTGTTTTGTTTTTTTTGAGACAGGGTTTCTCTGTGTAGCTCAAGCTGTCCTGGAACTCACCCTGTAGACCAGGCTGACCTGGAACTCAGAAATGCACCTGCCTCTGTCTCCCAAGTGCTGGGATTAAAGGCGTGCGCCACCACTGCCCAGCTGTTTTGTTTGTTTGTTTTGTTTTTTAAATTGAGACGGTCTCACTTTGTAGTCTTTACTTGCTTGGAACGAGACCCGCTATCTGTCTGTCTTGTCTATAATTTTTCAAGACGATTTTTCTGTGTTTGTAGTCTAGACTGGCCACAAACTCAGAGATACACCTGCCTCTGCGTTTGAAGTGCTGGAATTAAAAGCATGAGCTACCTGTTTTTTTTTTTTTGTTTGTTTTGTTTTTTTACAAAAGTGTATTTATTCATGTGTTTGTTTTTGCCTACGTGTATATACGTGCACCATCTGCATTCCTGATGCCTGTAAATGGTCAGAAGAGGGTTGTGGATCCCCTGAAACTGGATGGTTGTGAGCCACTGTGTAGGTACTAGAGACTGAATCTGGATTCTGTGTGGAAGCAAGAAGTGGTTTTAACTACTGATAATCTCTCCAGAGCTCTGCTTTTAAGACAGGGTCTCATGAAACCCAAGCAATGTGGAATTTAGTATGTATCCAAGGCTCGCCCTTTAACTGTTTGGCACCAATACCTTCTAAATGCTTGGATCCTCTCTGACTTGTATTTGTCTTAATAGTTTTAAATACAAAATTCTAACTAGAATGACTGGATGCTGCAAACATCTGGTTTTGGTTTGAAGGGCCTTAAATGTGCCGGCTTTTTTGGAAAATGAAGCTGTGTAGCAAGTACCATACCTACCCCAATGTAATCCAGTATTTTGGTCAGATTGAGGGGGTGTGGGTTGTGCTGTACAACTGGTGACAGATATTTTCCCTCCACCAGCATCAAGTAGCCCTGAGTTGATCACTTTAAAAGTATCTATACGATTAATGAAACACTCATTTATGTAAGTGCAAGCCTTGAGATTCGTACGTGACCAGAGGGCTTTGCGAGTTAGAGCTAGGCTTAGGGCGGAGCAGAGTCTCTGTCAGCTGTGGGGGCGGGGCTCCAGGGTCACACCCCGCCCACCGGCGCCATCTTCCAGGACCCGGGCGGGGCCCTGGGCAGAGGGGCGCAGCTGGGGAACGAACGCGGGTTACCGCCCGGACTCCGAACTGGTTTCAGAGGTACAGGCACAGGTGGAAAGGGACGGGGGTGATGGTGGCGGGGGGATGGGGGAGGCACAGACACCGGGGAAGAACCTGGCAGTGTCAAGCAGCCCTCAGCACTCATCCGGCTCCTTCCTACTGGCACGCTGCCTCAATCTGAAGAGAAGTCCAAGTTCTTTTTATTTTTTATTTTTCTGGAAAAAAGTCAGTTTGTAAATCTAGGATATGTTTTAGGACTGAGACTAACATGGGAGGGAGAGGATGTAGACTTCTTAGTGTTCCGCAATGAGCAGAGTAGGCCACAGTGTTTGGGGACGTAGGGGGCTCTCAGACTGTGGCCGACTGTCTCCATCCTGGATTGAATGTTCTGTGCCTTCTCTAGGAGGCCTTTCCCAGGGGCCCAGGACTGCCCAAGAGGACAATGGAGTCTGCAGCTCGCCCAGTTGGTAGCAGTTGTAGCAGCCCTGGAGCACTCTCACGGGAATACAAACTAGTGATGCTGGGTGCCGGTGGAGTTGGGAAGAGTGGTAGGTAACCTTTTCTATTTGCCAGAAAACTTTGAAAAGCAATAATCAGACCAGATGGGTTACTGGCTCTTGTGCAAAGTTGATAGTTAAAATACGTAATGGTCACTGTCATGAGTTCCATTTCTTGTTTTGAAGCCATGACAATGCAGTTCATCAGCCACCGATTTCCAGAAGATCATGACCCCACCATTGGTAAGTCAGCCTTGTTTATATTTCTAGATACATCCTGTGAAAGTATCTTAGTAGATTTAAAGTTTAAAAAAATAATATTTATATCCTAAACTTGTTTGTGTATGTAATTCATCCTTTCTTAGAAACAAGAAAAAACATTTGAGTATTTTTTTATTTTAGACTTCATATGCACATTTAAGCTATCTTTAGTCTTCGGGTTACATTGATAATAGACAAACTGTCTTTTTTATTTAAGGACGTGTAATATATTGTTAGATTAAAGAAAAAGTTTAAAGGCTACTCAGTGAAACCTTTTCTTGCTATTACTGTTAAGGGTCTGACATGAGACTAACCCTGAAGTATGAGTCAGCTGGTTTGAACTTCCACAAAAGGAAGCAGAAAAACAAGTAGAGCCAGCCTGCTGAACTCTTAGAACCAATCTCCCACTTGATGCTCTTCGTTCATTCCCTATCCTTGCAGCACATTTCGTAGTAACGTCTCTTCTGTGTCTTTGTAATCTCTGGCTGTCTTGTTGGTAGGATGTCAGTGGAGTAAGTCAGTCCTCCCCACCCCCACCTGGGGATTGAATCTGAGACTCACGCCAGGCACATCCGGCAAGGGCTCTGCCACTGAGCTGCGTCCTCAGCCTTGTTTTGTCTTGTTTTAAGTTGTGTTGTTGTTTTCCTTTGATGAAAGATCGAAGCGCAAGCTAGCCTTGAACTCATAGCTCTCCTTTTTGCTTAGTCTGGGATTCGAGGCGTGAACCCCATGCCCAGTCCTGTATTTTGTGGGTTGCATTATTGTTGTTATTAGCTGCTATCTGCTATAGACTAAAAATGTTACTCATTCCTAAATCATAAGGAAGCAGTTTTGATTCTAAGCGATTATCTAAAAGAAAACTAGGGCTGAAGAGGGGACAAAGCTCTGCCATTAGCTGGGAATGATGACAGACATATGTAACCCCAGCACTTGGGAAGCAAAGGCAGGAGGAATGTGAATCGAGCACAGGTCTCAATTGCATGAAGCCTGGCCAAGAATAGATAGTAAGATCCTCTGTCAAACCAAACAAGGCCGCTGACCTCTGACCTCTGGCTGTGCTCAGTTTATTTAGCATCTGTGTCTGCAGGTTTGGAAAAGATGGAGATACTTGTCTTTTTAGCAAACGGTCTGGGAGTTCTTCATTTTTGTGTTAGGGAACAAGCCCGGGGCCTCACATGGGCTGAGTACGTGCTGTTCCACTGAACTGCGTCCTAGCTCTGCTGTATCAACTTTAGAACATTGGTTCAGAGACTCAAACTTGTGGTATGGGAACTCCATAAATAAAATCACTCAGCCGGGCGGTGGTGGTGCACGCCTTTAATCCCAGCACTTGGGAGGCAGAGGCAGGCGGATTTCTGAGTTCGAGACCAGCCTGGTCTACAGAGTGAGTTCCAGGACAAGTAGAACTACACAGAGAAACCCTGTCTCGAAAAACCAAAATAAATAAAATAAAATAAAATAAAATAAAATAAAATAAAATAAAATAAAAAAATATAAAATCAAATCAAATCTCCTCAGGGCTTAGGATCTACTTAGTCCCAGGCAGTAGCTTCAGGCTGCCCACCCCTGGCTCCTAGTGCACAGCTCAGATTCAAAGTTGTATCAGCTTTAGTGATTCCTCACTAGAGGGAAGTGATCTGTGCCAGGTGACCAGGCGGGGTCAGTATCTACCCTCTGCCCTCCTGCACTAAGTGTTTGCCTCCCCTGCCCTCCTGCACTGCTGGCTTTTGGGTGTGGGAAGACTGGCTTACTACACCCACCTAGTTATTCTGCACTTGTTTATAGTGAGAACTAGCCACACCTAGAGATTGGCTGGAAAATGTCACATGGTCACCTCAGTTGGGCTCGGAGCCCAGGCCTTGAGCTCAGGCCACAGACTCTAGTGGCCCATGTCCTAACTTCAGTCCTTGGTAGATAAGTTCTGTATCTCCTTTGTTCTAGTTTCTATAACAGGTTTTTAGAACTGTCAGAATAGGCAGGATTTTCTGTGGCCGTGTCCATGGTACCTGTCTGTTTTCTTGTATTGTGATATAATCCTGACCAACTGCTCAGAGCTCATTTCCACTTCATTCACGGGCACCATGATAGTCTTTATTTTAACATGGTAGCTAGCATGCAGTATAGTGAAGTTTGCTGGCCGTCATACAGTTTGAGATGTGAACTGCAAAAACTAGTAACAAACTTGGATGGATCTATGAATGTGCCACTGAAGAAGCCCATGTACCCTGGGACTTACTCTAGTGGGAGAGAATTAGGGCTCTGAGGATGAGGAGCATGTACCATCTGATAACACTTTTTGTGTGTGTGTGTGTGGTTTTTTGAGACAGGGTTTCTCTGTATAGCCCTGGCTGTCCTGGAACTCACTCTGTAGACCAGGCTGGCCTCAAACTCAGAAATCCGCCTGTCTCTGCCTCCTGAGTGCTGGGATTAAAGGCGTGCACCACCACTGCCCAGCTCCAATGTAACCTTCTTGGGGTAGAAAAAATAGGCAAGCTGTGGACATAGCTGATAGCTGAGTGCCTGTCTACCACAATCCCCAAAGCTCAACCCCAAGCACCACAAATGAAAGCACTGTTCAATGTCACTTCCAAAAATATACAAAAGAAATGAGAGGTTGCTTCTGGAGTTCTTTTGGTTATTATTTTGTTTATTTAAAGATTGTTTATATTATTATGTATGTGTCTGACTGTGTGTGTTTGTGTACATGCCCACATGTGCCACAGTGTGTGTGCAGGGACCAAGAAGACAACTTCGTAGAGTCAGGTCTCTCCCTCCGCCTTTCCATGGGTTTTCCAGTCAGGTCACCAGGCTATTGGGGTGAGCATTTTTTTTTTTTTTTTTTTTTTTTGGGTTTTTTTCGAGACAGGGTTTCTCTGTGTAGCTTTGGCTGTCCTGGAACTCACTCTGTAGACCAGGCTGGCCTCGAACTCAGAAATCTGCCTGCCTCTGCCTCCCAAGTGCTGGGATTAAAGGCGTGCGCCACCACCGCCCGGCTGGGGTGAGCATCTTTACCACAGACGCTAAGTGATGGTTAGGTTATATAAGCAGATTTTTGTTTTCAGTGAAGAGAGACCTGGGAAAAGTTAGATTTCCTCCTTCTTCAAGAGTTATCAGGCTGGGCAGTGGTGGCGCACGCCTTTAATCCCAGCACTTGGGAGGCAGAGGCAGGCAGATTTCTGAGTTCGAGGCCAGCCTGGTCTACAGAGTGAGTTCCAGGACAGCCAGGGCTATACAGAGAAACCCTGTCTCGAAAAACAAAAAGAAGAAGAAGGAAGAGGAAGAAGAGGAGGAAGAGGAGGAGGAGGAGCAGGTTTCATTGGTTTGTCTGCAGTGTTTTGGATTGAATTCAAGGCCATATATATCTTCTGCAAATATTCTACTGCAGATCTATACCCCCGAATCACAAATTTCCTTTCTTTTTTAAGATTTATATTTATCTTCTGGGTATGGGTGTTTGCCTGTATGTTTGCCTATGCACCACAGTGTGCCTGGTACCTGCAGAAGCAGAAGGACATTGGATCCTTGGGAACTGGAGTTCTACAAAGGTGTGAGCTCTCAGGTGGGTTTTGTGGGGCAAACCTAGGTCATCAGCAGGAACCCCAAATCAGTCCATCTTTTGCCCTGTTCTGCTGTTCTCTCGGTATCTTGAGATTCAGCAGTCAGTGCACTTGTGTCTTGAGTACATCATGGACAAAACAAAGCTACAACTACAGAAGTGACTACGTGTGTACACTCCCATATAAGCACACACGTACATGTGACTGAAGTTAAAACCCAATGTCGGTCCCAACCACTAAGTTGATTTTAAAACTTACCAATCTTAACAGACAGTGATCTTTAATTCAAGAAGCATTGATTAAATAGGCTTCTTTATCTCTGAGAGTCAGAAGCAGGGATTGATTTTTAAATGTTAGGGACCAGTGATATGGCTCAGACAGTAAAGGCACCCGTCACCCAGTCTGCCCTGAGTTTGGTTCCAGTAACTCATATAGTTACTGCAAGAAAACCAGTTCCTGTTCTCTCGCCCTTGAAGCTGTGCTGTGTCATAGGCTGGCAAGTTTGTTCAACTTGAGTCCTATCCTTCAGTCTCACATGGTAGAAAGAGGAGCAGCTCTTCAAAGCTGTCCTCTGAAGTCCATATGCACTGTGTGACATGTGTGTGCCCATGTGCACACACAACTTATTAAATGCTGTAATGAATTTTAAAATGTTAAAGGGAAATATCTTGGGATGTATGAAACCAGTTTTTTGCTTTGGTTTTGGTTTCAAGACAGGGTTTCTTTGTGTACCCTGGCTGTCCTAGAACTTGCTCTGTAGACCTGGCTGGCCTCAAACTCAGAGATCTGCCTCCCAAGGATTAATATTTGCACTACCACATCTGGCAGTTGCTTTTAGGTGATAAAAATATTGAGTGGGTTCCCCCCCTTACTTGTCTCTAGTTTACAAGATTAGTCTAGTAATCTACATAGAAGTCAGGTATGATGGCTTGCACCTGTAGACTGAGTATTTTGAAGTCTGAGGCTGTAGTATCTCTTGGAACCAGCAGTTCAAGGCCAGCTGGACAACATAGAGACCCCACTTCTTTCCTTCCTTCCTTCCTTCCTTCCTTCCTTCCTTCCTTCCTTCCTTCCCTCTCTCTGTCTCTCTCTCTCTCTCTCTCTCTCTCTCTCTCTCTCTCTCTCTCCTTCCTTCTTTCTTTCTTTCTTTCTTTCTTTCTTTCTTTCTTTCTTTCTTTCTCTCTTTCTTTTTGACTTATATATGAGTACACTGTAGCTGTCTTCAGACATACCAGAAGAGGGCTCCAGATCCCATTACAGATGGTTGTGAGCATGTGGTTGCTGGGAATTGAACTCAGGACCTCTGGGGTACTCTTACCCGCCAAGCCATCTCTCCAGCCCCTAGACCTCATTTCTTTGTGTTTTGGGAGTGGGTAGTATTTAGGGTAGGAGTGGAGTCAAGATCTTATATAATTCAGGAGAGCTTTGAACTCTTGGTTCTGTTCCTCCACTTCCCGTGTCCTAGGATTATTGGCATATACAACGCTATCTAACTGCCAACTGTAGCATGGCATATACCTGAAATCCTGTCTGCTGAGGAAGGATGATTGTAAGTTCAATGGCTAGAATTTTTAATTTAAGACTCTGTCTCAAAAATAAAAATTTTCTTGGGCTGCTGAGGCAGGACACTTACAAATTGAAGGACCATCTGTTCTACAGACCAAATTCAAGACTAGCCTGATCTACTTAATGAGACCTGGCATAGTGGCTTGCCACAAGTTAAAGACTAGAAAGGGCTACAATGTGAAACCCTGCAGCAAAAGGAAACAAAGTAAAGAACTGCCTATAGAGCTCACTGATAGAGCTTGTCTTTCAGAGGCCTTGGGTTCTCCCTTCAGTACTTTAAAAGGACAAAATATCAGGAGGCAGATCTCTGCTGAGTCCAGGCCAGCCCAGTCTCCATGTCACATTGACCAGCCAAGGCTACATAGTGAGACACTATCTCAGAAACAACAAAAGAAACAGCAACAAAAAAAGTTCAATTAAAACATTTTAAAGGGTTAAGATTTCTCCTGCTTGCACCACATGCTGACACCCCGAGTTTAATCCTCAGTATTACAGCTAACAGCAATGTGCAGAAAAGACCTTGGTTTTGCAATGAAGGGGTTATGGCATTTTCTAGGAAATAGTAAACCTGTTAGGGATGCTTCACTGAATATAGCACACTGGCTGTTCTTGCACAGTCACAGATTTAGTTCCCAACACAAACATGGCAGCTGAGGGCCATCTGTAACTCAAGTTTCGGGGGATCCCATGCTCCCTTCTGACCTCTGTGGGATCCAACACTCACTTTCAGCCAAAACACTCATATGCATAAAAGAAAAATAAGTCTTAAAAAAAAAAAAGGTGTTGAGGCATGGTGACTGTGCTGAGGTGTAAAAGATGGACTGCAGCATAAGCTGTGTACATGGCCTTTCAGTCAAGTAGCCTGGGGCTTCATTCTGGCCCCATTGCTAATTAACTGTGGGTTGAAGAAGACATCCAGTATTTTAGGATTAGCTGTTGGTTTGTTTTAAAGACAGGGTCTCACCTGTAACTCTTGTTGGCCTCAAACTCACAGAAATCTGCCTACTTCTGCACTCCTCATCCCATGGTGGGACTAAGGATGTGCGCCACCGCACCTGGCCAGCCTCTGTACCTCATGGATGTATACCATCATACCTGGCTGACACTGTTTTACTGGAAAATAGAAATAAGAACACTTTATTGGCCGGGTGGTGGTGGCACGCGCCTTTAATCCCAGCACTTGGGAGGCAAAGGCAGGCAGAGGCAGGCAGATTTCTGAGTTCGAGGCCAGCCTGGTCTACAGAGTGAGTTCCAGGACAGCCAGGGATACACAGAGAAATCCTGTCTTGAAAAACCAAAAAAAAAAAAAAAGAAAGAAAGAAACTGGATAGGGTCTAGGAGTATATATAGCTCAGTAGTAGTAGAAAACTTGCCTAACATTTGAACCTCAGTATTCGAGGAGGTCTGGCACTACCAAACAGATGCACAGAAAAATAAATAAAAATTAGGCAGGGCCAACTCTTTTGTGGGACAGGTTTTAAAGTCATCGCTTCTTCCTGCATGTGAGAGTTTGTTTTATTTATTTATTGTTTTTTGGGGGGTTTTGTTTTGAGCAGGGTTTCTTCATGTAGCCCTGGTTATCCTCAAACCATCTCTGCAGTCCAGACTGGCCTTGAACTCACAGAAATCTGTTTCCCTCTGCCTCCTGAGTGCTAGGATTAAAGTGTGCCAACACTGCCCAGCTTTGTGTTCTTATAGCAGCCCTTTCTTCCCTCCTATAGAAGATGCTTATAAGATCCGGATCCGCATCGATGACGAGCCCGCCAATCTGGACATCCTGGACACAGCAGGGCAGGTACTAAACCCAGAACTGTATGTGTGGACTATCCTCTAGGACAGGCAGCAGGCTTCTGTGGGCAGTGTCACTAGTTTGTCTCTCTTAATTTTCCATGCTCTGCCTCAGGATAGCAGGTAACTGACATGCTGTTTCTTTACTCTAAAGTAGCCAGTGTGTGTGTGGAAGTCCATGTTGCAGCAGTGCATTCTGGGCCTTTGTTTCCTTCTAGGCAGAGTTCACAGCCATGCGAGATCAGTACATGAGGGCAGGGGAAGGGTTTATCATCTGTTACTCCATCACTGATCGTCGAAGTTTCCATGAAGTTCGGGAGTTTAAACAACTGATCTACCGAGTCCGACGCACTGACGATACTCCGGTGGTTCTTGTGGGAAACAAGTCTGACCTGAAGCAGCTGAGGCAGGTGAGGAGGGGAGGTCTGGGGTATTGTGGGTAGTCATTTTGGTTTTTGGTTTGCAAATTGCTTACCCCTAAGATAGAAAATGAGTGTTATCTTCTCTTGGCATTGGAAATGTCCCTCTATTAATTTCCTGTTATTATAGGTAGCATTTAGATTTTAGAAATCAGTACACAAGAGTTTAGGCAATAAGTTATTTGTGGCATGTACCTGTAACCTTAGCACTTAAGAAACTAGGCCATACATTTAAGGCCAGCCTGGGCTCATAGATCCTGGCTTAGTTAGTAAACAACAAACAAACAAATGGCAATAGGACACTCATTAAGTAAAGAATTGTGAGCGTTCTTTTCATAAATCTTCAGAAATGTCTGGATGTGGTTTAGTGGTAGAGCTCCTGTCTGGCATACACAGGGACCTGGGTTCAATCCACAGAACCACAAAATAAACCTTTTAAAATTAATAAAAGCTAGGGCTAACAAGAGATCTCAGATAGTAAAGCACTTGCTGCGTCTTGTAAACCCAGTGGCCTAAACTCAATCCTAAAATCCACATAAAGGTAAAAAAAAAAAAAAAAAAAAAAAGAGAGAGAGAGAGAGAGAACAGTTGCAGAGTTAACGGAACAGTTAAGAGCAGTGGCTGCTCTCACAGAGAACTTGTGTCCCTACCCAGCACTTGCATGTTGGGGTCAGAACTGCCTGTACCCCCAGTTCCATGGGATCTGATGCCTCTGGTATCCATGAGCACCGAGTATGCACATGTCATAAAGACATACATTTAGACAAAACACCCATACACATAAAATAATAATCAAAAAATATAAACTAAAAAAGCTAAACTAAAACTCCAGAAATAAGAGAAATGATTGAGGGCTTTTCTAATTTTTTTTTTTTTTAAACAGGGTCTTACTGTGTTATCTTGGCTGTCTTGAAAGTCTCTGTGTAGGCCAAGCTAGATTTGAACTGGCAAAATTCCATCCCTCTGCTTCCCAAGTACTAGGATTAAGGGCTGCGCCAAGCGATGCCCTTCAGTCTAGCAGTGATTTGAATATGAACACTAGTGGAGTGGTGAAGTGTGCTCTCCCACAGCTGTTCGCAGGAGCAGTGTGTGTCAGACAGGTCTCCTGGGACATGGGAAGCCTTTCGGAGTTCATATGTCAAACCCTCACTGCCAGGAGGAGAACACAGGAAGCAATCTTGCTGTCCAGAAGCAGGTGGAAGTGTGGCACTTCTGTAGCTGAATGCATCATGTTGGCTTCTGACAGGTTGTGCTAACTGGAGCAGATACCTCTCTTCCCTTATGCTTTTCTTTCTTAAAATCAGTAGGGTAAAGAAAACTGCCATTATCAATACTCATATTTACTTGATAACTGTTCCAAAAAAGTTACCTTGAAAGGGCTAGGTCCTGGTCCCAGCACTGTAGTGATTATAACAGGGCCTAAGGCCAGTTTGGTTTTTTGGGTTTGTTTTTAATGCTACGCATGGTAGTGTGTACTGGGGAGATGGAGACAAGCAGGTTCTTTGGGTTTGCTGGCCAGCCTACTTAGCAAGCTCCAGGCCAGTGACAGAACCTTGTCTCAGAAAAGAAAACACGTAGGCTGTGGAGTAGTTCAGTTGGTAGTGTCTGCTTATCATGCAGGGAGCTGGGCATGGTGATGCACAAGGCAGAGGCAGGTGGATATCTGAGACTGAGGCCAGCCTGGTCTATAAACAAGTTCCTGGAAAGCCTGGTCACGTAGAGAAACTCTGCCTTGAAAAAAACAATGTAAAGAAATTATACAAGAATCTCTGGGCTCCATCCCTGCAAAAATCAGGCTCATGGTAAATGCCTATAATTCCATCACTGTGGCGGCAGGAAGTTTAGAAGTTTAGTGTTGTGCTTGGATCCCCTGGAATATAAGACTCAGTGTTTTAAAAAGAAATCTTGAAAATACACTAGAAATAGAGTTATGTACTGTGAAGTCATGTAGTGCCCTCTCAGGCTGGCACTGTCCAGTGTCTAAATGTGGGGGAGGGGCTGTCCTGCTAAGGGTTCCCATTTACTTTTGTGACAGTTGTCACTGCTGCCTGCTGTACACCATGCTTTTTCTCCTGTTTGTGCCTTTGAAGGTCTCCAAGGAAGAGGGATTGTCTCTGGCTCGAGAATTCAGTTGTCCCTTCTTTGAGACCTCTGCTGCCTATCGTTACTACATTGATGACGTTTTCCATGCTCTTGTACGGGAAATACGTAAGAAAGAAAAGGAGTTAGTACTGGCCATGGAGAAAAAGGCTAAACCCAAAAGCAGCGTATGGAAGAGGCTCAAGTCACCATTCAGGAGGAAGAAAGACTCTGTAACCTGAGGGAAGAGCCAAGTGTCTGCTGTGAACTGCAGTGCTCCTCCAAGCAGTCCGTAGTCTGCAACAGTGAGCATGCTGTTTGCTCTCTCCTGCTATGTGGTTATCCTAAACATCACTGGCGAGGGGATTTGCCTACTGGGAGTTGTCATTGACTTACTGTCTAAAGCCCTGTGCTAGGTGACTCTGACTCATGAACTCATCAGGGCAGTGTCTACTCCTTAATTGTCACATTAGAACTTGGTTGGTCATTGTTTGGGTTATGTTGCTGATGTAAATTTATTCGTGTAAATCGTTTCTACCCGGGAGAGTATGTGTACCGTGTGCACTTGACTAAGTTTACAACAGAACATTGTATTGTATTCTCGCCACCACCCCTCAGCCTGAGCTTCCTGGTACTGTCTCACAGAAGGACCTCTGCCTTGTGTAGCCACACTGTGAGTCCTGGAGACAGAACAGAGATTAAGTAGAGAGACTGGCGTTAAAGGTAAGCAGGCATCTGTGGAGGGGACTCCTGTGCTGGGCCATGAAGTGAGGGGTTCACACAGGAAGACGTGGCCAGAAACCCGCAGCGTCAGAACAGTGTTCCTACCGGGAGCCCCAGAACGGCACATGTGACCAAAGCACTCAGGTGGTAAAAAGAGACAGAAGCATATTTCTCTCTGAACATGCTGTTCTTCCTTCCATGTCTGCCCTTCTTTACCTGTGCCACCTGGTTCTGCATCTGGGACCATTGCTAGATCACTCAAATCTTACTGAAAGCCTTTGTTGGGCTAGGCATGTGGCTCACTGCTGTAATCCTAGTATTTCTAAGTCTGAAGCAGGAGGACTACCGTGAGTTTGAGGTTACCCTGGACTACAGAATGAGAGCCTGTCTCGGAAAAACAAAACCACAAGTAAATAAAAACAAATTCTTTCTTAGGATTGCTATACTGCAGGACTTGTCCCATTTGCTATCCCTTGGAAGAGTCAGGCGAGGCCTGCTGGTTTTAGGCCTTTCATTAGAAATGCTCTGTTCCCTTGACCTCAGCAGTCCTTAGACTCGGGGCTTGAAGGTGTGTGGAGTCTCTGTCCAATGGAGCAGTCTTGAAGCTTCAGTACTCACATGTGTGAACTGGCTTCACAATCAGAAATGTCCTGAGAGTTGTCAGAGCAGCCTCAGAGAACATGCCACTTTGTTCTGTGTGTGATTGAGAGACTAGTCCTGCAAGAAATAGCTTTACCTATTAGTGGTGAATTCTCTGTCATGGGGTCAGGATTCTCCTGCTGTCTGAATGTTGCCATGTAGGGCACACTCAGGGCAGTCGTGATCACTCCAGGCTGGGTTGTTGTCAGCCGCACCTCTAGAAAGCTATAATCAGCTTCCTGCACCCCACTGTCAGAGGAATGGCAGATCTGTGATCCAGAGCCCACACAGAGCCTCTGCTGGGCCTTTTACATTCTGGGTAGTTGTATTTTGAAAATCCTGGTAACTTTGCTACTATGCAATTTGTGTTTTAATACTCAAACCATCAAAAAAAAAAAAAAAAATGAAAGACCCAGGTTCAAGTCTGTGTAAAACAGAAGCCATAGCACTTTGGAGAAGCAACAAAGTAGAAAGAAAGTACAGCAGCAACCTCTGAACAATAGCTCACTGGACAAGGACTGTCAGACTGAATGCCTTCACTGCTCAGTTCTCACAGTCTGTGGGATTGTCAGCAGTGCCAAGCAAGGCAGTGCCAGCCACAGTGTTTGAAGATTGTCAAGGTGATAGAAAACCCTTGCCAGAAAAGCCTGTAAGAAGGGATTTGTTCTGTGCAAGGAAAACTGCAGTGTATGTTTTTAAGGCTATGCTGTCACACATTGGATCCTGGATAAGCTAGTCACTTAGTTTGCATTGAGAATTGTATTCATGGTGCTAGGTAGCTTCGGGAGTGCAGTGTGTGCCAGCCTGAGGGCCTCCTCTATGGTCTGTACAAGCTTTAGGTCATCAGTATTGTCCAACCTGAAAGCATAAAAATCAAGTATTCCCTGGAATTTTGAAGAGAAGATTCAGTTGAAAAGCACTGAAACTGTTGAAGCCAGATTAGTAATTATAAGTAATTATAATCAGTAGGGAGATGTGTTTTAACCTGGACATATTAGGAAAGTATTGCGTGTCACCTGGGAAGAGGTTCTTCACGGGCACATACTTTTTTTAACCTATAAGTGGGTAGAAATGTCTAGAATTTTTTTTTTAAGTACATTCAGGTTAGAGAGCATGGGTTTACCTTCATTTCTTTGTTTACTTATGAACATGGTGAGCGCATTCCAATAGTTTTGTTGTTATATTTCATTTGTGTGGTGGGAGGTTGCTTGAAATCTATCTCAGTGCTTACCTACACGGAACCAGACCCTCTAGATGGTTTGCCAGTGTCTTCCTCTGAGACTTGAGGGATGGCATCCATGCAAAAGTCAGAGCTCCAAGGGAAGGTTTTAGGGACCTCCTAACCATTGGGGGGTTCTTTTGGGGTCTTAGCCAAGAACCTGGCTTCCCCAACTGCTCAAACCCCTTCCCCTGTAGCGTCGCCACAGTCCAGTGAGCTGGCTCAGTGGGTAAATGTGAGCAAGGCGAAGGTAGAGACTCAGCCTCTAACCTGACTACGATTTCAGGGATCCACCAGGAAGTCGTCATCTGTCTTTTATATGCTGTCATGTGCCCTGATTCCACAAAATAAATAAAAGGATGTTAAAAAACACCAACAGGGTGATGGTGGCGGCACATGCCCTTAGTCCTAGCAGTCAGTGGGCATTCTCTGAGTCTGAGGCCAGCCTGGCATACAGAGAGAGTGCCAGGACAGTCAGTGCTACACAGAGAAACTCTGTCTTGAAACTGCCTTCTTTCCCTGAAGAGGAAGCTTGAGGGTTCTTTGGAAAGTTGGTTGGATGATGTTATTGCTGGGGCAGACACCTGAAGGAATGTTTCTCTGAAGCAGACACAGGAGAGAGGATGTTCTACTTAAGCAAGCATGTGAAAGGACACGTGTTGAAGGATTCTTTGCTGACTACACATATGTATTGGTCCACCTTAGATTTCGTAGTTGAGCTGCATTTGTCTGGATGCCACAGAGAAAGGCACACCAAAAGCTTTCTGGTGGTGTGCTGCAGTTTGTTGTGGCTTCCGAGGACTCCAGCTGATTGGATACACATGCTGAGGCAAGAGCAGTGCTGAGCAAGGCACACAGAGGACACGTGATGCTTGGAGGGTATAAATCGGACACCACAGAGTGATGGGGACTGAGCTTGGCTTGCAGATCTTTGCTTCCCTGAAAGTGGCACAGCCAAGAACTTCTGGTGTTCCTGTTGGTCCCTCCTGCTGACTCAAGCTGAGGCTGAGGCCTGGCTATCTCTGCCAGGTTGTGTCACCACTGTTGCTAACCTGACTCTACTGAACTGGACTGCTGGGGTAACCATGAAGTGTTTGTGAGTGGATCAAGCTGCCAGTGCCTGCTAACCTGTTAACCGAACTGCTGATTTCCAGACAACACAGATAGAAGTTACTCCAAAGAACCTTTATAAACAGGTCCACTTCCCTTGTATCGTTTCTTTTCTACTACCTCTGGTGGATTACAAGGAAGGTTAAAGCATTTAAGAACCATCATTAAAAATAGGATTATGGTAGAGCACACCATTACTTCTAGGATTCTTGAGGCAGAGGAAAGCAGACCCATATGAGTTCAAATCCAGCCTGATCTACAATAGTAAGCTCAAGGCCAGCCAAGGTCACATAAAAAAAAAAATATGTGTTTTTAAAGAGAAAGAGCCAGGTGTGATGACACACAAGTATCATTCCAGCAACTAGGGGGTAGAGGCGAGAAGATAGAAGTTCCAGAAATAGCCTCCCTGTGTAGTGAGTTCTATACCAGCCTAAAAGTACAATAGAGGTAATGGGAGAAGCAAATGGAAGAGAGACTACAATGAACCCAAATTTGCATGTTATGTAAGATTTGGTAAATACTCAATATACAATTTATAGTATTAGAACTTTGACAATTTCATTTTTTTAAAGATTTATTTATTTATTTTTATTTTATGTGTATATTTATATGCCTGTTAATTTACAGGCCCTACACTTTTGTCTGGTGCCTAAGGACATCAGCCTCCCTGAAACTGGGTCACAATTATGAGTCGCCCTGATGTGGATGTCGGGAACTGAACCTGGGTCCTCTGGAAGATCGAAGCAGTTGCACTCATAACCACTGAGTCTCCTCAGCCCCTCCATCTCAGGCTTAGAAGGACACATGTGCTGGAGAGATGGCTCAGGGGTTAAGGCTACATACTATTCTTTCAGAGGACACCCACAGGTGCCTGTCACACCAGCTCCAGCAATGCCTCTGACCACCATGGGTACCTGCACTGCACGATCATTACACGTACACACACATGCACACACGTGTGCAATTAAAAATAATATCTTTAAAAAGAATGATACATAGGAATTTTGCTTATTTTTTCTTGGAACAGGATCTTGATGTGTAACCCTGGCAAGGCTGATGCTTGTTAGAAGCCCAGGTTGGCTTCTAACTTGGCGGGTTCACTTGTCTTTGGGAGGTGGGCACCACCATGCCCAGTGTACATCATTTTAATTTTTTTAACTTTCAGGAGTTAACTTTGATAATCATTTTAAAAGACGATTCAAGATTGAAAATGTTGAATTATACTGTTAGATATGCTCAACCTGAAGTGAAGATCTAAAATTGTTCCCTGAGTTTCATCAGCTTAACTGGAGCTGAAATTTAGGTGGTGTAACCATAAAGGAGATGGTGCAAAATGTTTGCTCTTTTTTTTTTTAAAGAATTATTTGTTTATTTTATGTATATGAGTACACTGTAGCTGTCTTCAGACACACCAGAAGAGGGCATCTGATCTCATTACATATGGTTGTGAGCCACTATGTGGTTACTGGGAATTGAACTCAGGACCTCTAGAATAGTCAGTGCTCTTAACCACTGAGCCATCTCTCCAGCCCAATGTTTGCTCTTTTATTAAAGGTTATTCAGTGTGCCCTCCGGATTTCTGGATGCTCTCACAGTACAAATTAATTTTATTCTCTTCTTAGTAATTATGAAATAGGTGTCATTTGAACCAGGAGGATCCAAAATTAGCAAGCATTCCTGTAGGAACTCAGTCCTTCAGAGAACATTTCTCTGGTGGAGTGTGAATGATGCCAGTGCCTCTCTGCCCTGTGGTTCCTTGTGGCAATATTTCACCATCTACATGAAGAAACCACTTGCCGAGGAGCTTTTCTTTGCTGTGGGGATATTCTCTTTCCCCTTGGGACAGTTGACTTGAGTTGGCTTGCTTCTTGTTCTAGTAGGAACATGGGATCAAGTGAGGCCTGGAGGAATTAACATGACCTTTAGCTCTTAGCGAAATATAGTCAAACTATACATGACTTAAATCAGTCTCTTAAGCTTTACAGTCCTGTATTCCTTTATTCCTTCTTAACAGAAGGCTGCTGCTGAGTTGGGAAGGCAGAGAACATAAGACTCCTTTAAGAGAAAGCACTGCATGAGCCAGGAGTTCAAGACTATTTACTGTAGGCAGCATGAGTCCCAGTCAGGAATTAGAGCTGGGGTGCCGGATGGCAGCCTAGTTGATAGAGCAGCTTCTTCTGTGCAGGAGGCTCTGAATTCCATAAAGCCAGGCTCCGTTGTGAATGTCTGTGACTCCTGAGTAGGAGGTAGAGGAAAGAGGATCAGAAATTCAAAATCACCCTCAGCTGGGTTTAAGGCCAGTCTAAGCAATATGAGACTCTGACTAAACAAACAAATATGGGCATGGTGATACACACCTGTAATCTGAACACTTGGAATCAGGAGTTCAAGGTCAGCCTGACCAACTTAAGTGAGAGCAGTCTAATTTTTTTTTTTTAATAAAGACTAGGACCTAGCTAAACAGAGCACTTGGCTAGCATCCATACATAGGACAAGCGCTCAAGCCTGGCATTGAAAAATAAAGAAATGAATAATAACGTCCTTGCCATGACAGAGCTCAAGTAGCGAGTCAGGAGGTCTGGAAACACACAAGAAAATTTCTTTTTTTTTTCAGGTGGGTGAGTAGAGGGTTTATTCAAGATAGAATTTCCCTGTATAGCCCAGGCTGTCCTGGAAACCTCTGTAGACCAGTCTGACCTCGAACTCACAGAGATCCATCTGCCTTGCCTCCAAAGAGCCCCCCCCCACCCCCCACTGGGGCTGAATGCCCAATATAAAAGGACCAGTCAGACAAGACAGAACAGACTTAATGTTTGGGATGTTATGAAATTGCTAATCAAGTGTTTTTTTTTTTGCTGTTTTTAAAATATTGTTAAACATAAATTGATTGCAGCTATTATTATCTATCAGCTGATCAAATTTTAAAAATGAGGTTGTGTTGAGACAAAATTTCTGGAATTTTAGTTTTGTCTTAGATTCACTTTTTTAAAATGTTGTGTGTGTGAACCTCAGCACACATGATGGCATCATGGAGTCATCCAGTTTTCCGAACAAAAGCTGCTGGGGTGGGGACATGCTCCATTTCCTGTCGTTGCTGGAGACTTTGTACAGTATGCTCTGAGCCAGAACACATTTAATAAGCCCCCTAACATCTCCAGCCAGACAGCCCTTGCAGAGGTTTGTGGCGGTGAGAGGACAAGAGCAGGAGCACGTGGTCAGCAAAAAGGCTGCCCATGCCCCTTGACTGCATCTTTGCTGCCTGGAAGGCTTCACAGGAACCTGCTCCAAAGGAGTCAAGAGACTGCGAATATGGCTCAGTTGGTCTGAACACGAGGACCTGGGATTGATTTCTAAAACCTACATTTGCAAAAATTTGCGAGTGGTGACTCCTACTCAATGCTGGTGCTGATGAGGCAGAGACAGGCGGGCTCTAAGTGCTTCTCTGGATGACTAGCCTAGCCAACTTGTCAAGCCTTAGGCCAGTGAGAGACCCTGTCTGAAAACACACAGAGGATATGTAGACAAGCTGGGTGGCACCCAAAGCTGACCTCCGGACTCCTTGCACACACGTGCACACACAGAAAGAAGCACTTTGGGAGCCCGTCTAGACTTTCTGACCATGCCCACTTTAACTCTCCAAGAGGAGAATTTGTGGGTCACTGCTGATCACCATGACCACCTAACCACAAACAGCTCCAGCCCCAGTTCTGAGTCGGACCCAAATACTTCACATAAACTCTCTACCACCGAGTCACACCCGAGCTCACAATGTTCACTCCTTTTTTGTTCCTTCAGTGTTGGGGTTCAAACCCAGGGCTTCACAGATGCTAGGCATGTGCTATACTACGGAGCTCTGTGCTTGGCCTTCAGCCAAACTGCTTTTGAAACTTGGACTTAGAATAAGAAGGACAATATGAAGCCTTATTATGTTTGCTTTGAACCAGCTTCTGAGAGGATACCATGTCCATTGCCTCCATGCCTTTGTTGAGCCCCTGCTGCATGCAGGTGTTGACAGCAGGAATTCAGCATGGATTAGAAGCGAACACACCATTCTCGAAGCTTTGCTTCTGTGCTGTGGAGTGAAAAATTCTGATTCTGAAACGTAAAATGTAATGAGAGATTTGGATCCATTCTGGGGACAGGGACATGGGGAGAGAGCAGAGACTGCCAACTGTCAGCCACTCAATAATTGACCTAAATGCTAGGCTGGAAAAATGAGAGAACACTTGGGCAGAGAATTCTTGGACGAAAATAAGTGTAAA